ATTTTTTTTTTTCGGTAGATAAACATAATGTTCCAAAATATTGTTTACATCGTATACCATAAAATATGCGGATTTTTCACACGACGGCGGTTTTTTTTTTAAAACAATTTGTGTACGTTTTAAAATTCAATTTTTTTTTTTTTAACCGTAAAATCCCTTGAAGATATTGATACTAAACATTCTGTAAATTTTTTGTCTAATTTTTATCTAGGTTTTTCTCAGTCGGTAGAAAAGCTACAAGAAAAATCAAATAAACGTTTTAGATACTGAATACAATTTGCTTTCAGAAATAGAAATTGAAACTAATGACCAATAACGATGCACTGGTTTTTCATGTTGACTTATGAGTTTTCTTGATGGCAACAAGGGAGAAAACAGTATTGATACTAATCCGCTAAGAATCGTTTGTCGCGTGGAATGATAATTCCCTAATATCCAATATTACACCATTCTTGCGACTTCCTACCTACAACAGTTGTCTACCTATTAACGTACAAGTGTGTATCTGGTTTTTGTTTTTGTCCAATATACATTACACTAGATTCCCTGCCCGGCATTGTCAGTGTCAAAAAAAAAAAAAATTATAGACTAAATACTCGTACAGTACGAGGATTGCATATATAAAAATTAACAACAGTTTTTTTTTTACCCGTGTTAAAAAGGTAGTAGCCCATAAATCAACAAAATGAATTAGATATTTTCACTAAAAATACCTGAAACCCGAATTTTGTGAGATGGTATTCAATAGTGGGTGGATTTCAATAGTTATAGCGCTATAAACCTTCTCCGGACAACGCGGAACATTTTGTAAAAAACCGAGTAAAAATCGCTTCAGTATTTTTCAAATCTATTATTCTTATACAGACAGACAGACATCCACTTTTATATACATAGGTATATAAAATATAGATAAATATACAATTAACAATCTGTCTGTCTGCTATACATAATATCATGTTCTATTCATATCTAGATGAAAAGTTGCACACTTGATATTTAAAACAAGAGAAAGGTCGCTGTCTACTTTTTATTTCGAAATATAATTCCAAAGTTTTTTTTTTAGAATAGGTATGAAAAATTTAGGAATATTTTAGTTTGAATTCCGAGTAACCTCGTTGACGTGGATGAAATTAAAGTTTTTGCTGGTAAATGTGTCACTGTTTTATGAGCGAAGTTGGAAAAAAGGGTATATAGAGTAATTTAATTTAGAACTGTACGCTACGTTTAACTATTGCTATCGATAAACGATTCTGAGTATAATATTATTAAACGTTTTTTTTACCAAAATATTCTAGAAATTCTCAAAAATTATAGAAATAATTCTCAGATTTCTCCATTTATACAAAACTACAACAATATTTAAAAAAAATAGCCTCTTCAACGCGTCAAATAGATAAAACAAAAAAAAAAAAAGCTACAAGAAAGTTCACAAAGAGTTTGAGACAAGATTTCTGGAAGAGAAATTGTTTACAAACACAACGAAAAAAAAAACCACAAAAACGCCAAATGGCTTTAAATAGTTCAAAAATCGAGCAGAATGAAGAAGACATTTTACCGCGTCTAAAAAAGTGCTATATAAGTAGTCTGTAAAACTTTTATTGTCACGTATTCGCGCGTTTTCCCGCTGGTTTTTTTCCCGCTCCCGGTTACGCCCGATTATAAAAACTACTCGGAAAAATACTGCAGCAGAAGAAAAATACCGTTTTTCGCGTGCCGACCGGATTCGTAGTGAAATTTAAAAAAAAAAAAAAAATGCAAAACAACGAAATCGCCATACTATTATTGTGTATGGCCGTCCGTTTTTTTTTTTCTTTCGCGTGTTTTATGCGTATAAGCGTCACACGATCTATTTAGGTATCGAATGTTTAAAAAGCGGACGGGAGGTGGGACGGAGGGGGGAGGGGGCCGGCGGCTCGCGGTTCGTACGTGTATAATAACAAATTGCGCGTGTCCGGTAAAAATATGTTTGGTCGTCGGAGAAATTTGTCCCGCAGCGACAGCGCGCGTTAGTTCACCGCCGGCACCGCGCGCACGGACGGTATTTCCACCCCCTTTCGCGCGCGCATAATCCCTCTGTCTCGACCCCTATATGCACTATACGCACAGACCAGCGGCGTGTTGTAAATACGTATATACGTACGGGCTGCTCGCCGCGGCTACTGTATTTTATTACTTTCACACTGGGCTCAGACAGTGGTCTATATAATTTATGGCCATGTTAATTTTCCTTATGTAACAGTTAATAATTACATTAAACAATATATACACCGAGTGTGCACTGCGCGCGAGAGACGAGAGGACGAAAGAGAGAGAGAGAGAGAGAGAGAGAGGGAAAGGATTAAAAAAAAGCGTGTGTATACGTACGAGTACGAGCACACACATTATTATTATTATTATTATTATTATTATTATTGTACAGTTTCCGCCGCGGAACAGCGGCAGTTAGTATAATATTATAATAATAGTTAGGTACATAATGAAACTTTAAAAAAAAAAAAAAAATTTATTTCTTTCGGTCCGTATTATTCTATATACATACGTATTATTATTATCATAATACACGCGCCGGTTTATACGAAAATTACTATCACAATAATGTATTCTAAACGTGTTTGTTCTAAATTATAATAACTGCATGCGCGTACGAAAAACGCGTATCGTATCGCATTTTATGCTGAGCGCGATGAGCGAGAGAACGGTACTGCCCGTGGGCACGGGTCGCCGTTCCAGGCGCGGAAAGGGCATTTTTCGAGCAGGTCGGCCGTGTCCATTCGAACGCGTTGACGCGCGGTGAACATTGATGATGATCATGTGGAGACTTTCGTCGTCGGTTCAATTTACCCGGATCGCGATAACGATCTAAACTGATTCGGATTCGGCGTACACAAATCGGTTCGTTCAACTGTATTTAGGGTTACACGCCAAGGCTGGAGATTCGGTAAATTTGAAAACCGCGTCACAATTAACGTTTTAACTAGAATAATAATCGTGATAAAACCGTTTACTTTATATTAGGTATCCATAATAAGCCGGCTTCCTTCGCGCATTACACGGTGGTTTTCGAATAAGTTTCGTTTTAAACAAGGAAAAGTGTACCCTACACACATTTAGATTATTATATACTATACATAAATTAAATATTAAATTGTTATTTTTTTCAATTAAAAAGCAAAGAAAATTACAGAAAAGATGTTAATATTGGAAGAGACATTCGAGAAACTGAGGATAATACCCGACTAGTAGATAGATTTTTGAAAAGACATGTTCTAGTTCAAAGGTTATAGATGATATTTTTAATAATAAAACTATATTAACAAACTGTGGCACGGAGAAAATGATAATTAGGTTCGTTCCAACGCACGTTCAAACTATCACAAAACCGGTGGGCGCATGCGCAGTAAAGTTTCGCCGTTCCAACATATCGAAAACGCAAACTTAAACTGTCAGACGATTGTTCCAACATGATATTAGTTCAGTTTTGTAATTGGTTTTTGACAGCCAAAGCGATCCGCCAATTCGGATGGGGACTAATAGTTTGAGACCGCGTTACCATTTATTTAATATTATTATATAAACTAGAAAATATTGTAAAGGAAAACTTTTTTTTGAACTGGATTAAATCCTATTTATATAATAGATCCCAAATAATTAAAATTAATGACTCACCGAGGGACCCTTGAATCAACTCGTTTTTGAAAATACATGTTCTACTTCAAAGGTTATAGCTATTTGCTTAATAAAAAGAAATTATTATACACGAAAAAAACCCCGTCACAACTTTATCCGGATATCAAACCGAATGACCCCTCTTCATTATCTCCAATCTCCGTTCTCAAAAACGACTGAACCGCTAAAGTTATTGGCTATAAGAGTGGGCGGATCTTTTTAAAGAGCCGTTCGGAAAGATCTAATTCACTCGAATGAATCGTTTATCCTATCCTTACAGCTACGTCCATTAAACATCCAGAAGTTTACGATTTTGCCTACTGGGTGTTCACTAGAAAACGAAAATAGTAAATTATTAAATAAGTAAATATTGTAATAAAATATAATTTTTGATGTTGGTAATACTCTCGCAGTGGAGGAGGGGTAAGCGTGGAAAGGTCAAAAAAGTTAAAGAGAAGGTTTGGTAGTGGAATTTTTTTTAAAAGTAGGAGTGGAGACGCAATATATATTCAGTAAAAATGCGGTGGGAAGTTGGTTAGGTTTAGGATGCCTCCTACCTATACGGTAATTATTATTTAGTTTATACATACCTATAGCGTACGGGAAAGAGGATTCTAGACGGAGTTTAGCTAATCATCATTATGTAAACAGATTTTAATTGAAAATTCGTTTTGATTTGTACTTGCAGGCAAATTGAATTGAAATATTTTTCGTGGTTTTTCTTTTAACGAATTTTATCATTAATTTGAACTTGTAATAGATTACAATATTTATTATAACTCATAAACGACATATTTTGAAAATTGTATCGGGTCTAGGTAAAATGCCAACATTTTATGGTCCCTACTATGATTGTTTATGGTTGAGTCACAATGAAAATAAAAAAAAAAAACCTAAATTAACAAAAATCGATATTGCGTGAATATTTTCCCGCGTTCTCGTGTTTCACGACTATAGGAAACAATTTTCTACCAAACAGAAATCATACATCATGATGTTGATGATTGGAACGAAATTTTTTGTGAAAAAATTATTTATAGACAGAAAAAAAACACGTACAGCAAAACCAATGCATTCCTCGCTTCGCTCGGTCCAAACAATCACATTTTCGCTTACAAAACGAACGAATGTTTTTGTAATATTATTCCCGTATTATGCCTACAATATTATTTTAATCTCGCAAAATGAACTGTATATCATAGCCTGGAAATCAAACATTGTTATTCGGTGGTTATTGATTATTTTTTTTTTTTTTTTTTTAATAATGTCAGTCTTTAAAAAAAAAAATATGAAATAACGCAAAACTTTTTTTTAGATTTATTACAAATAGTAATGGCTAGTTTGAAACTTTGACTTTTTTTTTTACTGTACTTAAGAAATATATTTTTAATTAAAATGCAGAAATGCTAAGAAACGATCTATTTTTTTCAAAACAAATAATTTAAAAAAATCAAAAGAAAAAATCCGCTTTTATCATATAACGTTGAAATGTGATTCGCATTACCTACACTAACACGTCAAATCGCGTATATTTTCGCAATTGACAATTATTATTATAATATTGTTCGGGCTCATCATTATTTATAGCAAATACATTTTTGATGCGTCCAATATACGAAATTACATTGCGTTTTCGATTGATGTACAGAAGACGACAAACCAATAAACAGCGGTTATTACTTATTACATCACGGTTCATTTCATTCGGAAATTCACTGGTCGAAAATTAATAAATAATTTATAACTTACTACTTTATTGCTTACATTTTCTCGTCCGTTTGTGTGTCAATAATTTTTCTACCGGAAATCTTACCTCAATCAAAACAAATGATAAGATAACTTGTTCGTTTCATTATGGATCTCTTCGGTGCACTGAGGGTGATATTTTTTTTGATTTCCCAAGCGGTTTTCATAGTATTTGGGAAAACCCGAAGAAAAAACCGCAAAAGAATAACATTAGCGATAAGACATTCGCTGTGAATGATGAACTATCGTTAAGTACAAACAAAAATTAAATAACTCTAAGTATTCTGTTTTCCCAATTTCCCACTTACATCAGTATCGATCAGCAATATCAGCTATTTTAGATTATGAACGGAACGAGGAATGTATTTGGTTTACAGTGTTGTTTATTTTTTTTTTTTTTCTGTGGATAACTTTCCTACCAGAAATTTAGAAATCTGTTCGAAGTGGTACTTTAAGGAGGTCATTTTACGATTTTTCCAGTAGTTTCCGTGATAAAAGGGAAAAACCGGGAAAAAAAAAGACACGAGAACAACATGGGAAAAACGGGAAAATAGATACAATATTGTAAACATATATTATTAAATAAAATATACTATGCATATGAAATTATTTTACCTCAATATTACGTAATATGTATATGTAATGTTTTGACTAAGCAAAACTGTTATCCGAACTCCACTCAAAATCGCTTTTCATTATCAATAGTAAATCATTGCGTACAAATATACATTAAATTTCCATTCTACCTTCCAACTTCTTGCCTACATCAGTGGTCCATATTTTTTTTAACGTTTCGAAAATACATTACTTAAAACATAATATTTCAGTTCGTATAATAATATGCTTTCTGATCGAAGACTTGTCAGAGAACTCTTGCTGTTTTTAAGTTAATTAAAACACATTGAATTGTATATGTAATCATTCAGACCAAATACGTCATATTTATCGAGTTTTTTTTTTTACTTCGGTTTATTTATAGGTGGAACATGATTAGGGATATATTATGTCTCTCTCGTTAACCTTTGTTTTAATATCAATTAATTTACATGATTTTCTATATATATATATATATTTTTTTTAATTCTATACTATAGAATCTTTAGTCAGGAAAATCAAAAATTTATTGGTGTACCAGTCACCAGATAAGTATACTTGTAAAGCCATTTAATATAATATCAAAAACATCCGAACATGAGTTTTTTTTTTTGTGTTTTTTTTTTTGTTTTGTTTTGTTTTTTTGTTTTGTTTTTTTTTTTTTTTTTTTTTTTTTGTTTTTTTTTTTTTTTTTGTTTTTTTTTTTTGTTTTTTTTTTTTTTTTTTTTTTTTTTTTTTTGTTTTTTTTTTTTTTTTTTTTTTTTTTTTTTTTTTTTTTTTTTAATACAGTCATTATCGTTACACACTCCTTGAACAAATCCCAAACACGCCACTGGTTAAGAGCCGTATTAATAACATAATATAGCAAATATTATTTACCAGCACAACGTAATGTAAACATTTTTTAAACAAGCGTTTTAGGCGGCGATGTTTTCGATTGTAATAATATTATATTATTATTTCTATTTTTATGCCGTGCCCGTCTAAAACCTGCCAGTTTACATTATTTTTATTGTAAGTGCTGATGCATGCAAACAAGTTTTTCGCATGGTTCATAATAATTATTATAAACGTTTCGAAAAATGTTCATTTAAGGTCAATAGGTCAACAGGCACCTTCAGCGTGGTATTTCTGTTTTTGCTTTTTTTTTTTTTCTTGTCAGCTTTTAGTATATTACATTAGTTTTGTTTTTAAATAATTATTATTATCTATCAAAAACTTTCCATGTAAAGAAAATACAGCTATAAATATGGCAATATACTTATCCGGTGTTTGGAGTGCACGTAAAAGTAATGAAAATCAATTTTCCGGTCGGTGATAAAATTTTTTTTTTTTTTAATGTATATAGGCACAATGAGTGATGATATTGTTTTTTTTTTTTTTAATCCATATTATTTCAGTGCCGTAATGTTACACAGGGTAAACGACATCTAAGACAGTTGATTACATCCTGTTTGGACTTTTTTTTTTTTTACTTTTTTCAAGTTTCGATAGCGTCCATTGATTAAGTACCAATTATTATACAAGAAAATAGGTAGATTAAAAAAGGACGGATATACTTCGTACGTAAATGCAGCCACTGTTGTGAGAAGTTGGGAAGGTAGAATGCAGACGGAAATTTAATGTATACCTGTAAAGCAACGATTAACCATTGTTAACAAAAAAAAACGATTCTGAGCGGAGTTCAATTGGTAGTGTTGCATTTTCGATAATATATATATGTCATAGTAAAATGATTATAACGTGTGTTTCCATGACAACAGTAATAGTTTAAAAAATGTTAAATAAAATAATAAATATGTAATAATAACAAAAAATAAATACAATTTTTATTTTTAATATTTCTATCGGTTTTAACCTAAAGAGCCAGGTTTTCCTCATTATATAGAGGAATATTAATGAGAATTTTAAGAAATGACCTTTTAAAAGTACCACCCAGAAAACATATACTTTTAAAAAAGGTGCTATACTTAATAATTGAAAAAAGCTTTCTGGTAGAAAGTGTTCACATAAAATAAAAAATAAATAAATAAATATCTTTGTACATTCTTCGCAAAATTCAGAATCTAAAAAAATGATATATAATATTATTATAGTACATATCATTATTCATTTATTATTCAGCATACATCAAACCTTTAAAAATTATACGTTTTTTATTTAAAAAAAAACCAATAAAATCGTACACATATAGGTGTATTATAATTATAATTTTTTTTTTTGAAATTGTACATATTACATTTAGATACTTAAAATTTACTATCAGTATTTTTTAGTTATAGGTAATTATTATTATTATTAGCTACAGTCAAGAATTGTTATTGTTATAGTATTAATGAGAGGAAAAGGTTTTGCGTGATTTTTTTTTTTTTTTCAAATAGTCTATACGGGATATATAATATTATATCAAATTGTTTATTCGTTTTTCGTTATATTTGTTTGATTAGAATTAATTTCTGATATTTGTATATATTATTATGACTAGTTTTTATACAATGATAAAACCAATGGTTCTCACTTTCCCAGTCTATTATGCTGCTTGCAACCCCTTAAAATATAATATTGCCGGACGCAATCGAAATTCTTGACTTTTCATTTGGTACTCAATCGGATGTATACCTACTAAAACCGGACATAAACGAAACTCGAGAAGAGTTAAAAAGGTCGGAACGAGACGCAATCGGACGACGTACGATACTCATTATCTCTCGGAAAGTGTTAACTTTTTTCGTAATTTATCAAACAAATCAGACAAAATGTCATCTATGATGATGTGATCTTCTATTGCTCGTTCATTAAGAACGTCCACTATACCGTCCGAAATTCTACTGTATACGTTGTTTTACGCTGGTACAAATTACTGAAAAATAGACATAATGTTATAAAACTAAATTTACATCATAAAGAAGGGGAAATTGCACGACTGTTTTGAACCCTAATCTACCCAAACGTTGGTTTTATTTTTCGACCCCCTACTATACAAAAACCAAACACGAATAACTATTTCCGTATAAATTGTATCGAAACATTAAAACGAACTTTTCACGGTGCAAGTTCTCTTTTTTTTTCTGAATGGTGAAAATTTGGTTTCTTAATTAAGTATATGGCTCGAGTAGTTTTTGCCCACGCTAAACAGTTTTTCCGTGAACTTATTTGTTTAGAGTTGATCAATTTAGGTTTCTTTCAGTAATTTCGAAAAAATCCGTGGAACATATGGCAGATAGCACTTCTTTTAATAGTAAACTATTTTTAATGACGTCCACGCAAATAAATGGAGAGAATAACGTCTAAACATAGACGTGATTATATATATCTATATAAATAATTATTTTAAATCTTTATTACTGTGTCCATCGTATTGAAAAAATATTCAATAGATTTTAACTGGATAAACTAATGTTACAATCGATTTTTAACGAAATCATGATTATCCGTTCGGCGATTGCCCGTGGACGATTTTCAGGATGGGGCCTTTTGTGAACTTTGACTCGTGAGTAACACGTTTTTATTGAGAATTAAAACTATCTGAAAAATGTATTATAATATACCAAATACATATTGTATAAAGTTAATATGTTTATAATTAGCGAGAGTTTAAAATAAATTTAATAGTGACGGGAAAAATTTAAATTAACCGTGTTTTTGGAAACAAGATTTCCCGAATGCGGAATATCTGATTTTTAGATTATTTTGCCGCTTATCCAACCGGTTTTCCGTGTAGTTTTCTGAACAGTCGGGAAAAAAACCTAAGAAAAAAACGTACGCTAAACCGCGGAGATTGAAAATTCGTACGGAATTTCTTGTATTCTTATTATTCTTGTATAGACGCGGTAAAATTCCTGGCGATAAAACGCCACCGGTGAATATTATGTTTTTTTAACCCCGACCGGTAACCGGACGCGACCGGGAGTTATGATCAACGATCGCAATATTGCAATACGGGCTTTAGTTGTTGAACCGTATACATAGCTCAGTGTTGGGAAAGTTTCTTTTAAAAAGGAATTCGTTCCCGTTCCTCGTTCCTACTACAAAAAAGTAACTCGTTCCTTTAAACGTTTCCTTTTTTTAAATTTTTTTTTTATGATCACATATATTATATATTCATAAAAAATATACCGGGGAAGGGTGCAGCTACTGTTGCAGGTGAAAGTCAGGAAGGCAGGATAACTAAAATCGGAAACTATTCTTACTTCTTAGAATCTACATGTTTAAAATCCTAATAAATTAAATAAAATTAATTTCATGGTTCCTATCTTAAAAAATAAAAAAATGAAAAACATATTTACTTGAAAGATTAATGAAAATTACTTATAAATTCGACGTATGCCATTATCAAATAGGTAAGTTTATTAACTAACCATTATCACCGAGATACCGACGAAATGATACAAACACTAAATACGAGTAGGTATACTACACATAAATAGGAATTCTTTCCCGTTCCTCGTTCCTGTATTTGAAAAGGACCGCGTTCTTGTGGGAAGCGTTTCTTCCCAAAACACTAATACAGCTGTAGTACAACCGTGCGATTATTATTATAGTTCTGCGATGCCGCCGCCGCTCGTGTATTGCACGTACATAAAGGACGTGTATAATGTGTACGTATATTACAGAGGATTCCGATAAAAACGCCGAAATCGATAGATTCAAAATCGTCGCGAAACTACAAAATATAATAATATATAATACGACACGGCCGAAAACGGCGCGGCATTGTGCGCGTTACGCGGTGCGAAACAATAAATTACCGACGCGATAATAATCCCGTGTACGAGCCATGGGATATATAGGTATACACGGGCGAACGACGTCGTATATTATTACCGTTTCGCGTATTATCGGTTCGTTTGCAGTTTTGCGGTGGCATAATAATATATTATTGCTATTTTTTATTTTTTTTTTTTTTTTCGAAACTGTGCGCGAATGTTAGTCCGACCGGATCGCCGGGACCGCGGCCGTTTCGGCCGGTCGGTCGTCATGACGTTTTCGACCGACGACGACGCCGCCGCCGCCGCCGCCGCCGCGTACAATGGGCAATAATCAGTGGTCGATTTACGGGGGGAGAGGGGAGGGGAGAGGGTCCGGACTCCCTGGACCCCCTCATCCAGACGCCGATATAATTTCAATAAAATATCGTCCAAAAGGGGGCATCTATTATTTATAGACATACCATTTAAATACAAATGATTTTTCAGCACTTCTCCCAGAAAAATATTGGAAATCCGCTACTAATACTAATTTAAGCGCGTCTATAATATTATTGCAATATTGTACTACAGTGATGCGTCTAGGGATGGCGAGAAAACATCCGAAATTTTCGAAATGTCCGCGTCCGAAGCTAAAACAAACACGATGTTCGACGGTTTAGTTTCGATCGTTAGCATCGGCGTTAAGAAGCTTTACCGACGTGTTAATTTCGATGTTTGCGCTTGTTTTCGACGTTCACGACAGTGTTCTTGCACACAATCGGACGAAATTTGATTCCTATCGGCTGAATGGCTATAGATTATATTTGAGGTTTGAATGTTGGATAATACTGGCACTCAATGTCTCTTATGAATAATGTACCCGTGGAAACGGGTAATTATTTCGTATTTCAAATTGACGATGTTTTCTAAAATCGTTAATTTTTTCCTAAATACATCGATGTTTACAAAAAAATCACCGTCACTAGATGCGTCTCGTATAAATATCCAATAACGGGCAAGTAAATATATTCTGATATTTACCCACACCTATATACTTTGGTGTCGCGATTTACTTAATGAATAAATATAAATATACAAATAGGTAGTGCTTTCACTGGATGGCTTCTTCTCTCACGCTTTTCATGTTACAAATTTCTCTCAGCACATATTCTTATTGAGCTCAAGGGCTCAGATTGTATGTTAATTATTTTAAATAAAAGAAAAAAAAAACGTATATACTTACCCGCCCGAAGTTTGGGTAAATATATTTTTTTCCCTCATCTGTTCGTTAACAAGTAGTCTACAAGGAGGTATTAAAAAAGAACAAGTTTTCATTGATTTGTCGAGCTGTAATATTTTAGGCAGAAAAGCGGATTGTTATGTTTTAGTTTAAAACATAATTACTAAAACAGCTTAATATTCAATTCAAAATTGGAAACTGTCATTTTCATGTGTCTAAAATAGAATATATAAAAATTTGTCACTACGTATTGTGTGTTAAGTTTAAAACAAATTTACCCGGAAAAATATCTACCACCGGTCAATACCCGTCACAATACCTGTACCGGACTATAATAATAATAATAATAATTTGCCGTTAAATTCGACAATTTAGTTCCGGCAGTTTGTATAGTTGGATGGCATCAATGCTGTCGGAGAGCTGTAAATTATTGCTAAAAATAGGTGCGGTTAGTCAATCGGGCCCGAATTTGTACCGCTGCCGCTGAATCATACTCACGATTGGACACATAGATCTAAAATATTATTATACCTATATTTCGTACTCGTAAACAAATGTGTATAACTTAACAGACACGCGCGTTCCACGCACCGCTTACCTACAGACAATATACGATAAGTGAAAGGCCGAAAGGGGATTTTTTTAAAATTCATGAACTCATCTCTTCATCTTCATCTCTTCCATTTGAGCTGAATGGAACGCACGTACTACAATTGGTTCTATAATTGGCTTCAGTCGGCTGCCGTTCCGGGGGCCGAGCTGGAGATTAATATGCAATAGCCTAAATTGACCAGCGCTAATGCAACACTTGCACCGCCACATTTGAGATGTTTTTGAGAAAAGTTTGAAAATTTTTATAGATACCTATCTAAACGATTTTTATATTAAAAAGTAAATATTTGATCAGCGGGTAAAAATAAAAATTGGTAATTTTCGTTATGATATAATTGTATGATCGGACGCGTACCATGCGTAACGCAACAATGTGGAATTTACAAATAAGTAGGTGTGTACGTCAAGCTAAATCAGGTGAATTCGATCCACTGACACTATTTCATAATAAATAATACAGTTTAATACTGTTCAAATAATGTACTCGTAATATCGGGTTTAGGTTAAAATGAAAAACAAATTGCTAGAGATGAATATGAACTGTTTATTAGACAGGAATTAACCGGGAAAGTTGGAATATTGGTGGGTTGGAAAATTCAATATTTCACTGCATCGCCAGAAATAAAGCCTTGATATTTACGCCACTGTCGCCACGTACGGGCATCGTGTTGTCTTATCCGTTCCTTTTTATTATCTCTGAGTACCACGACATATAATGCGATGATGTGTTACACGGAAAATATAAAAATATAATAATATATTATTAATGCCGAGACGAAAACGAAATCTGCTTTGATGTCACTCGCGTATACTATTATTATTTCATCTCAGAGACGAGTGTATAATAATATAGAGCCGTGATTGCGCCGAGGAAACTCGTTATTGCGAGTGTATGACTTATACCAAATCCAAACTATAGCAATAACCGCAATAATATTGTCCACCGAAGAGAAATACTATTATTATTATTATTTTTATTGTTAAAACAGAATAAGGCGAAATTTGCGCCATTATCATTATTTTATGATAATAATAATAAACACAAAAAATGGATGTACTCAGAGAACCAGCGGTCCCGTTTTCGCCAAAATGAACCTTTCCAATTTCCACCAAACGCGTCTCTTGTCCTCTCTTTCAACCAATGCGCGTTTCGGCCACAATGAAACTCTCCCTCTTGGACCAATACATTGAATAACGCATTCCATTATCGGTGATTACAGCGTTCGATATAATATAGAATAATATCAGTTTTATTCATTGATTTGTAATAATTTAGTGATAACAATTATCTATCGATACTGAGGACCGTTCTCATCAACATTGTAAGCGGAGTTTATCTGATTTTAAAACTCCGCTTATCAAATAGACGTCCGATAGCCGAAACGTTGTGTTTCACAAAAAGCGTTTAACTATAAACCACGTTTATGAGATAACCATCTACTTTTGTTCGGTTATCTGCTATGACTTGGTTTATAGACTTGTTACAAACACTACGTAGATACGCACTATGAATATTACAGATACACGCATTACGTATTATTATTAATTTTTTATTTTCCACTGATCTTGCTTAGCTGGACTACAACTAAAAGCATCAGTTTTTCAATTTTTTTATTATTTCATAGTTCTGCTGTACAATGTCAATAAAAAGTTCCTTCTCCGGGACTTGGTAGAGGTTCTCTTTTCTTTTCTTTTTTTTTATACATTTTCCACTTGAATTTTTAAATTGTATAACTTACAAAACTTGGACACTATAGAACAAGCGTATAGTGCCTTAACAAACCTAGACTACAAATTAAATTGTATACATTAATCAATTTCACTAGTTATCACATTATCAGTGATTATAAGTTCGCTATCTACCAAATAGTCATAGTTTAGTACATAAGCTTATAGAAAACGTGTTTATAAAAACGCAATTATTGTGATAAAACGTACTCCTTTATAAACCGAGTTTAATCTTTCCATTACGATAACCGTAGTTTCTCATAAACGGAATTTATCGGTTTTTGGCGAGAATTGGCCTGAATGTTTTCACGACAAATAATAATTTTTATCGTGTGTACATTTTATATTAATTTTTGTTACACTTACTATTAATTATGCATTAATTCTTACTATCAATGCAAAATATTTAAAATATAGTCATTTGATTAATCATAGCGTTTTTTTTTTTAAATTTTTTAATCACAGTGCCGAATTTCAAAAATCGTTTCATGCGTTGGCGGTAATTGTTAAATATCTCTTTTGGTGGAAATGTGTAATGGTGGTTCAATTTGGTTGAAAACGGTGAAGTTCTGAAGTTCATCTAACACCGATATACTATCAGAGCTTTTGAAAGTTTTAGTAGAAGACAAATACGATATATTATGTGAAAATTCTAGAATTTAGATGCTACAGTAAAAATATACCTAACATAAAGTTGTCTAGATCACAAAGTTATTAAATATTGTCCACATTTTATACCAGCATCAAAAGATTTATTTAGTTATTTTAATTTCGAAAATGATGTTTTATTTGCCAAGTAGTACCGAATAATTTAGTTGTAAATAAAAAAAACCTAAACAAATTGTAAAAGTACAAAAAACGCATGATGGTTAAAATACCTAACGGTAGATGATTGTAACGCAAATGCTATCCTCCCACTCAAAGGTTTACTTGTACGTTTAATGCCACATCAAGTAAATACATAACCTAACCGACTTATGAGGTGAGAGACAGAACTAACACGCGAGGAATAACAGAACACTATAATATTTTATGATAAAGATGTTAATAATGGTAGGAAATTGATTGAATGTAGCAATTGCATAAAGAAGTATTAACAAAACTGAATAGTAGATTCGTAAAAGTTTGCAAAAATCATCAACGTTAAAATAATGTGCTTACAGACCAACTAAACAAATATAATATAGTAAATGTAAAATTAATTTAAATGTATCAAATGGGTTTATGAAGATAACCGGTATTCAAAGAACCATTTAAGATAAAGAAATTAATGTTCAAAAACATAATTCAAAAACCTGCATTTCAAATGCTTATTTAAACTGATCTTAATATTGAAGAAGGACCATCAACAAAGGAAAAAGATGTGTACAATCAAATATTACAGTTCTCTAAATACAATTCTGATGCAATAAGTAGCTTAAGGTAAAAAGAAAAAAATAATTTTCTAGAATTGGAACATGAAAACAAAATGTTTTATCAGAACTTGAACTTTTTAATTCATTCAAAACACAGAAATACGGATTTGTCATCATAAGTTAATGTTTAAATTGCGTTTAAACCAAGTCGGTGGTTACCATTTAATGATTAAAAAAAAAATC